GTACACATATTCACTTAAATAAATGCATTTAATACCCTTGTAACTCGTTGTAGACCACGCAAAAAAAAGGAGATAGCAAAACAACCTATAACAAAACTTGACAACAAAATTCTTGCTAAAGCCTAAAATAAGTCGTTAATAGCATGATAAAAAATGCAAGCAAACAAGCGGCCCAGAAATAAGTCTAACCTGGAAAAGCCAGCTGCGCATGTAGCAACCCGAACGCAGTCATCACTTCATTCTGTTTGTACTAAACAAAAAAAGTAAAAAGAAAGGCTCGCGGTGGCCGAGCGCCGTCGTCTTTCGCGATCGACCACCAACTAGTCGGTGCGCAGACGATATGTTGTTACCGGGTATTTCAAAATCCTCGTCGGTATGATTTTTCAATACCGTGACGTTACAGGGGACTGTTGGCCATAAAATCACGGTGCGTTTTCATTTCTATTTACACTGACACGGAGTTTGGGGACAGGATCGAAACATGGTTTAATGCACAGCACGCGGCCAGCAGGAGGTGCAAGGGAGGGAGTTTCCTCTCTCCGCTTCTAGAGCTCAGTAACACGCAAGAAAGCTGGGTTGTCTACACACAGGAAGAACGCAATTCTGTCGGGGGAAACCCGTTCAGTGCGTGGGGAAAGTAACAGAGACACATTTACTGTGCCTGTCGATGGTGGCCCCGCAAATTACCTCTGCATATGCTGCGTCAAGTGCATCGTCTGAGCGTATTTTCAGCACCGTCAGGGAACTGCGGGTGACACACAACGCCCGCACAATAAAGCCAGAAAATGTTAAATCATGCTTGTCTTTTAGCAAAGAACCTAGATGAGGTCGCCCTGGGATAGATGCGCCAAAATGTGAAACCTGATTGCCTTTTCATAATTTCGGCCCTACAAACCTGTAGCCTGCCTGCCTGCCCCAAGCCTGCTTGAGGCACATTTTTTTGTTGCCCGTCGTTATTCAGCCTTTTTATCAGGCGCGGCCGGACGGCCAAGTTAAGCTGTCTTATAGCCCTAACATTATTTCCAGTTGGATTAGCCTAGTTATCTCCTTTTATTTTCATTCTCCGTTGATAAAAGACATTTTAGCCATTGATTTATTTGTTTTCATATTAGGCTACAAACCGCCCTCTATTTATAGTGCTAAAGGGTCATATTAGCCTAAGTTTAAGTTTACTCGCCTTTTATTGATTAGGCGTGGCCTATTTTCTATGCTGTTCAGCAAAAGTACAATTTTTACTATTTTGGCCCTTATTAATAGGCAAGTAATTATCCCGGAGAATCATAACAGTGGTGCATGTGGTGTAAATAAAGGCTTATCTGGAAACATATGAAGTTGCAACTGAGTTTTATGATCGAAAGATATGACCGAATCTTATTACAACAGAGGAAATATAAAAAAAACACCAAAAAATTGAAAATAAAACGAAATTTATTACAAAAGGGATGATTTAAGGACCTATATTAATGTACACTGGCATTAGCCTACCATATACGATATGGCATATCCAATATCTTTTTTTTTTATTCTTTACGTATGATAATATATTGTTAACTTAGCTCACAATGGAAACAACATCGGACATCTACAAACGCGTCCTGTATCCGATCTCAAAATGTGCCATTTGCACAATGTGTCATGTATGCAGCCCTTGTTTTGCACTTGCGCGCACGTCGCGGCACTTTGCGAGCGTCTACCGGCTCGGGCTGCATTTTACACCGAACATATAATATACCGTTCGAAACATCTATTTGCCGCCGAACGCCACCTCACTCAAGTCGACCCAAGTCATACCGTCATATACCGTATACCACGGTATGATGTCAGCAAGGTATGACGGTATGAAAAAAATTATACCGCCCAAGCCTAATACAAAGCACCACCAATTTTAAGCAAGAGTATTTTTTACTTTTGATACTTTAAGTAGTCAACATTTTGTTGATTATACTTCTTTACTTTTTACTTAAGGTGGGGTAGGTAAGTTTTGAGAAACCGGCTCGAGATAAACTTTTTGTTATATTCCATGGAATGCTCTTAACATCCCGATAGCAATGACTTAGAAAAAGAAAATCCATTAAAAAAAATCTTCTGTGGAAGCCGTAGTACTGTACATTTTAAAAAGCACGACCAATCATTTTAGCCGGCCCGGCTAAAACTGCCAAGGCACACACCTGCCTGTTAGCCTTCCATCTGTGCACAAACTTATCTCGTGCCCTCATTGGTCATGTGTGTGTGCGTGTGTGTTGGAGGAGGGGCTCTCTAAGGAAGTGGCAGATTTTATCCGGCTGTGTATTTTCAAAAATTCTAGCGCACTCGAGCTGGTTTCTCCAAAATTACCTACCCCACCTTTAAGTATAATTTTAAGTGCAGGACTTTTACTCCCAAAAGAGTATTTTCATATAAATGTATTAGAACCTTTACTTAAAGTGGACCTATTATGCTATATTTGAAAAATATATTGTAGGGCCATACCTATACAAAACATGTCTGTGAAGTTTTTTGCTTAAAATACCAAACAGATTACCCATTGTAGCCATGCAAAGCTCATACTCCTCTTTTCCAGCCCTGCTCCAAAAAGGCTGATTCTGCTTTAATGGACGGCTGCTGCTAGCCACGCCCATTTGTAGCGTCACGCAACTTTCCCCTGCTAAGAGAGTTTTCTACCGGGAGAAACTCAGCTAAACGCTGCCGTGATTAAATGCCATATTATGTTCCCAACCACTTCAAGCATTATTTCTGAAACAATATGGAGCTCAAACCTTTCTCTCTCGCGGGGTTTACCACAAGGACATTACGTTACACATATTCCAGGGCTGCCAACCTTTGAGTTCAGCTTGGAGTGAGATTTTTTTTATTTATAATTTAACTTATACCACATTGGGTTCGTCATCATCTCCTTCAGACCTGTGATACTGGTGAATCACTTCTGCTGCAAAGTCAATCACAGATCATGGATAATGGATGGATAACGCTGAACATGTGGAGTCAGTGGGCCCAGCACTGCAGTGACCTGGCAGTTTGAACAGGAGCACAAGGTCAAAAGGGAAACTATGACCTCTTAACATCAGGAGAAACATTTAACCAAGATGGCTGAACCCACACAGTTTAATTCACGGACAGTGAAATTAAATAAACGATTGCTTTCCACCACAATGAGCCATTTGTCGAACCAGAGTTCTCCTTCAGTCACCTGAGTTTAAAGCAACCCTTCAAATATAAATATTTAAACCGAATAAATACGTATCTGACAAAACAAACTTTTCTAAACTTGAAGTCTTTATCTGCAGTCTAAACAAACCAACTACTTATTTAATCTCATTTGATTAATGTTAAATAGATAAATATTATAACAAATGAATGTGCATAACTAGGAGCCATATTTCCAAGTATAAATCAATTGTCTCATATTTTATGTAATTCAAGATTTATATTCCTGCATCCAAGAAGTTGATCCTTTTGAATTTAAGGAAAAATCTCACCACTGAAGCACAGAGAGACAGAGGCGATCCGGTTGCAGCCCGCCGAAAGATATGAAACTGGCTCAGAGTGCTTGGCAGCATAGAAGAAGAGAGCTTCATGTCATGTGAAGCTCAGTGTATTCAATCAAGTGAAATGAGCAATGTACTTCATCCCCGCACTAAAATCCGTCTAAGAAATGACATGATATAATTGGCGATTATCTTTTAAGAAATATCTCATAATACCCTCATACTCTGGCGTCTGTTGAAGGGTTGAAAGACAGAGTGTGTGTCTACTGACTGATACGCGTTGAAAGGAATGCAATACATTTAGGGATTTCTTGATGAAGGATTTACTCACATTTGTTATAGCCTACTGTATAAAATCCTAAGAACCAATAGCTTTACCATAACACAAAGAAGAACAAGATATTTTACTTGTAATTTAATTGTGCAAATCAGGGGTCCTGAAAGTGCTCTTACACTTTTAATGCATCATGAACCAACATTGAAATTACAATTGATAATAAAAACAATTTCACTTGCCGTCTTTAATTAGAACGACTAATCCACAAGAGACTTAAAATACTGCTTCCTTATATAATATACACATCAATGTATTGGCCTATACTAGTGAAAATGGAAATGGTAATAAGACTGCATTTACAGTATATAGCACCTTTTCAGTCTTTACCACCTATCACCTACGTGCTTTTAGAAGTCAGCATTCACACATTCACACAGAGGCTTCAATACACCTGCTTAGGGAAACTAAATTTCCCACCACTGGCTACACCATCTTGAGCAACTTGGGATCAAGTATCTTGCCCAAGGACACATCAACAAGTTGACTGCAGTAGACAAACACCTCACAGCCAGAGATCCCTTATACACAACAATCAATTCATAGACACCTTGGTGCAGCCTTATAACAAGAAAAAAAAGAGGCAAAACTCAACTAATTTGCCTTTAATGACCAACAATAAACAAAAACAGCCTTGGAAACCACGGCAAATGCAACAATATGCATTAGGTCACAGAAATGAAAATATTTGACACACGCAGCACAAACAGGGCTGCCAAGTGTATGGACAATGTTTAGTAACCTGGGCTACAACACACTGATGATATGTCTCTATTACACAGTGGTTGTTCAGTGTTCGTCTGTACGGGTGTTACATTCATGAGCAGTAGTGTAAAGTAACTAAGTAGATTTACTCAAGTACTAACTTGTAGCCTACTTTACTTAAGTATTTCAATTCTTGTTTACTACTTTGTACTACTACCCAACTACACTGTCGTCTATTTTACTCCACTACATTTATGTAGTGCCTTTAGTTACTTTGCAGATTTAGTTTAATGATGTGAAATATGACCAACACACAAGACTTGAGTTACACCTGTCGCAAACTTCACAAGCTAACCTGCAGCATATAAAGTAAGTAACCTTACCAGCTTTGATAAACCCATTAATGCATCAATAATTATAATCAAAACAATAATTTATATTATACTGAAATGGGCCAATCTGCACTGTACTTTTACTTTTGGTTCGTTTAGTATATTTTAATGCTAATACTTTTCTACTCTTACTTGAGTACCATTTCGAATGCAGGACTTTTACTTGTAACAGAGTATTTCTACACTCGGGTACTTCTACTTTTAATTTAAAAGTAGAATTCTAAGTAGTGTTTCCCCCGCTGTTCATGAGAGTTTGTTTTGGCACACACCTGTTTGGATATCAATTTGCGCGTCTGCGAAGTCTCCCTCCATCTGCTCTAGATCCATCTTCTTCTGAGTTCGTTCATGCTAACTCTAGAATAAACCAGCCGAGCCTCTCTTCCTCTGCAGAATACTGTCACAGGCAGCAGAAAGGCTTCTCTGAAGGTAAATGTTTGCTGCTCATGAAGAAGTCCCCGCTGGACGATCACCCACGAGGATGTTTAGCTAGTAGCTAGTGGCTTTAGCTGCACCCAGCATGCACCTGTCACCGGCAGAGGTGGAAGAAGTACCCTGATTATGTACCTTAGTCGAAGTCCAGAATTCCAAATTGTACTTAAGTTAGGAGGGAACGTATTTGAACCAAAAAATATTTAAAGTACCAAAAGTAAAAGTACTCATTGTGCAGAATGGCCACTTTAAGTACCAGATAGGCCTACTATTACATTATTTGATGATTGTTGCATTACCTTTCATTCATAATGTATTGTGTGTCGATTTAGCATCTCAGTTATCAGCTAATAGTAGCCTACAGTATAGGCCTATCTAAAATTACATATGAGATACAAACTGAACTGTATGAGCAGCACTAAGGTCACACTGAGTGATTGTTGTTTTCTTGAAAGAATGTAAAGTAAAGGAAAACAATAAGCAATGAAGTGAATACAAAAACATCTGTATTGGATTAAAAAAAAACACCTCATTCAAAAATAATTATTTAGAAAGGTTTAAAATCTCATACAGACTGAAAATCAAATATATATAATCACCCATAACATGCTGATTTATAATAAATTGATTTTTAGATGTTTACAACATCCCATACTTTTTTCACAACTAAGTTCAAAATGAACCTACACCTATAAACATTCCTAGGGAAAAGCCAATAAAGTAAATGCAGATAAAGACTATAAATTGCAATACAACACACCTTCACATGTGCCTTAAATAGTAAGAATGTATTTAATCATTGCATTTAAGACAGTTTATCTTAAAGAAAAAACTGTGCTCTATCCTCCTCCAGTGTAACATCACGATGAAGGGGAAAAGCTCTTAAACAGACGGACCCTCAGTTTTAGGAATGTGCTTGTGTCTAAACTCAGCCCCTTAAATCAGTCGGTCCTCACGAACAGAACTCAGATCCAAAGTGATGTTCCTTTGATGAACTCCTGCATATGACCAAAATAGGAAACTATTTAGAAAGAAATGCCTGTTATAGAAGAGGGGTTGTTGGTATCTATTTGAACCCTTATCATTTTTACCTTTAAGGCTTAACCTTTTGAGTTTCCTGCCTAAACATAATTTTCAATGACCACACATTGAAGAAAACCGAGTAGATGTTGCTGATTTATAATTGGACTTAAGGATGCATAAATCACGTTTTACTTAAATTATAATGTTTTCTACTTCACTTTAAATCATAGTGCCCTTTAAAGACAAGCCACTAAAGATCAGGTGGTGTTGGCACAAACGTCTTTCGCTTATAAGTGACCAGTTAAGTGCCCTCCCACAGCGAGGAAAGACAAAGACAGCAAACAGTTCCATTGCGCACAGCTGCGTAAAATTATGCAATGTTAGCCTGTTTTCTCTAAAGTAGCGTGTTTTCATGTATGCGTCATGCGTATACTTATAGACTCGTGTTTAGGTATGTTTGGTCAGTAGGCGACATGGGAGAGCTGTGTGTGGTGCTGAGGAGGCAGGAGATGACTGCTGCCCCCCTCACTTCTCCACTGAGCCCTCAGGAGAGTGGAGTGAGGACTGCATGGGGACTGCTGCGTACTGATCGCTTCTTTCTGACAAAACATCTCAGCAGTGATTTGGAAATTAAATTGCAAAGTTCCACCATGAAGACTTTGGATATGTAGTTCTCATTTTGTTTAGTAGAGCTCTTTCATGAGTTGCAGTTACAAGTGATCTGAAGCCTGCTATGGAGGAACTCTTGAGTCAAAATGAGTCTGAGCACTGACAATGTCACAAACTTGTGGAAAAAGGGTTCTTCGGAACTCGGCTGGACTGCGGGCGCGTCCTCCCCGGTCAACTTTACCAACAGCTCCGGTGGGAACTACACGGAGGTGGACCTCACCCGAGCCATCCCGCTCGGCATGATGCTGGGGGCTTTCATCGTGTTCGCTATCGCGGGCAACATCCTCGTCATCCTCGCGGTGGTGTGCAACAGGCACCTGCGGACACCGACGAACTACTTCATCATCAACCTGGCCATGGCCGACCTGCTGCTGAGCACCACTGTGCTGCCAGTGTCCGCGACTCTGGAGATCTTAGACTACTGGGTGTTTGGCCGGATCTTCTGTGACATTTGGGCGGCGGTGGACGTGCTGTGCTGCACCGCGTCCATCATGAGCCTGTGCGTAATATCCATCGACCGCTTCATCGGAGTGAGCCATCCACTGCAGTACCCTGGCATCGTGACCGAGAAGCGAGCTCTGCTGGCCATGCTCGGGGTGTGGGTGCTGTCAGTAGTAATTTCCATCGGACCTTTGTTGGGCTGGAAGCAGCCGCCATCGCCAGACGAAACTGTGTGCTCCATCACCGAGGAGCCGTATTACGCGCTCTTTTCCTCCCTCGGGTCCTTCTACATCCCTCTCATCGTTATTCTGGTCATGTACTGCCGCGTGTACATAGTTGCCAAACGGACCACTAAGAACCTTGAGGCCGGTGTGATGCGCGAGAGGATGAACTCCGGTGAGCTGACCCTCAGGATCCACAAGGGCTCTCAGGTGCAAGAGGAGCCCTGTGGTGCAGGCGCCGGTAAAGGCCGAGCAAATCAAGCGAGAAGTTCCCTCACGGTGAAACTTCTTAAGTTCTCCCGGGAGAAGAAAGCAGCAAAAACTTTGGGAGTTGTGGTCGGCATGTTTACGCTTTGTTGGCTGCCCTTCTTCCTCGCCTTACCCATAGGTAGGTTCAATAGGTCCTTTATACTGTGATCTGTTACACTGTCACAAAATGAGCTTTTACACAAATAAAACCCACACCTCCCCCTCCTCTCCAATTTATAAACTTCATGAAATTCAATTAGCTAATGAAACCTGTAGACAATATTTTACAACCATCTAAATACTGTATAGGACGCTGCAGGCATTATAAATCATACATATAGCTGGCACAGGGGAAATATCCTGGGCAGCATTACTGCTTGGAATTGATACAAAACCTATGAGTGGGCTTTGATATACTGTAGTGCTTATTTTATACTGCCGGAATAAGAAAATAACATCACCGGTATTGCAGCTTTCAATATAAATAGTGCAGAAGGGGTGGATCTACATAACAGTTCTCTTACTTCACGGCCTCTGTTAAGATAATAAAGTTAGATTGCATCATATTTTATTATGACACAACTTTTTATTTGGGCCAACTTTAACATTTTTCCAACACAAAGCCAAAGCTAACACTGATGTTTTGGACTCAAACTCAGGGCTCTTAATATGGGACACTGTGTTTTTCCTAGACTGTAAAGGAATTCTTCACAAGCCTATCAAACATTATTAGTGTTATCTTTGCATTTTTCCCTGAGTGTCAGTTAATCTGCTGGTGCAACAAATACACTCCTCAAGTGTGCCAAGAAGAGAGTAGGTGGCCTCCCTTTGTTCCGGTCGGTTTATTCAGAGGCCTGTGGGGCCAACCGGGGCTCCCTGAGACTGGTAAGCATTTAACACCCTGCTGTCATGGTTGTTTAAAAACCTGCAGAGGATATTAAACAATATATTCTGTGGTGGAATGCTTGTGCTGCAGGCTGTCTTGTAGCAAAGAGGTTAAGGTAACATTGAGTCATTATTTGGTGATGGAATCTGGTCAAAAGGAAGCAATCAACAAAGAGTAAACTACAAACATGGCTGCTGTATTTAGATGATTGTTCCCCATATGCCCCTGTAGGTTATAGTATATTAGTGTGCGTGTGTGTTGTCATGTGCCTGCATGTGTACACTTTTAATGATGTAAAATATGAATGTGTTGATGCCCCAGGCTCACCCCTTCCTCACATGGACACACGCACATTACTACCTGGGGCAAGTTCACAAAATGGGGTGGGGGGCTCATTTTGCCTCAAGCGTTCTTAGTGCGATACCAAAGAGCATGTTACAAATGTAATTTTTCAAAGTTCTGATTGTCAGATCTGAGAGGCTCCAGAGAGCAGGGGGACGTGAGGTTCAGGAGGGGCCTGTTTATGTAATCAACAAACTGCTGAGAAACCCCCAGAGGGTGTTTCAATGTATCAACACTGATTCATTGTGACAAAGCACTATAACATTTAGTTTCATGCTCATTAGAAATGGGCCTCCGAGATGCATGAAGGAAAAGCCTACAAGCAAGTCCACCAGTCTTTTTGTGGGGAGCACATGGTTCATCTTATGAAGTTCATTGCATGGTGGACCTATAAAGCAGGAAACTGAAACTCTCTGTTTCTATTTGTAGGAAACATCGTTGTTTTTCAATGTAAGTTTGTGTCACTGTTCTTGTGTGTGAACATTAATACTCAAAGTGAGATAGGGCCCTCCCCACGTTGCTCTGTGGAGTGGGATTTCCTGTCTCACACTAGCCTGCTCCCTCCTCTGCCCACTGTCACTGATATGTAACCTATCTGGGGGTTTAGGAGTGTGTTAGTAGCAGCGAATGGCACGTGTGCTTTGTTTATGTGTGTGAGGAAAAGTGATACAAAAACGTGTGTTTATGTAGATGTATGAAACGATAGTTGTTTTTTGAGTGATTGTATCAATGTGGCGGCAGTTTATAGAACTCTTTCTAAAGCCAGGAAAGGTGTAACTTAGACTGCATGCTGTCAGAAAGAGCCACTGTGACCTCTGACCCTTGAAGTCTCAACCCAAGAACACGTGCAGTTTAAAGAAATATGTGAAATCTCTCCTTCAGAACATTATCTGAACAATTTGATCAAAATTCTATAAACGTCATGTTTTTTGTTTTTTCCAAAGCCTGAGCTAACCAGTCCCAGAGTTTGAGTCATTCCTTTTTCAGGTTCTGAATTATCATTTCTCCTTTTACACCTTTTGGAGCAAAGAAAGCTATGCAGACTTTACATTACATTAAAGTTAGCGTGACTCCATGCAAGCTTCCTTGGACAAAAAGCAGCAGTAGAATTTCACAAACAGACCTAACTTAACTTTATTTGATATTAAAGAAGACGTACTATTTGATCACAGGGGCCAGACAGAAATAAATAGGGCACACAAAGTCCTACAAAATGCTTTTAGACCTTACTATTAATGAAGCGGTATAATAATAACATGTATTTTCATTGACACTCTTTAGTGCCTTTCAGGCTGCACATGTCCCACCAGCTGATCTCTAATATAGTTGGTTCAGCGGCCAAACATTGTTTAGAAACCGAGAAAAATATTCTAAAATCTAGTCCTGATGGCAAAGTCATTCTGACCATTTCTATGATTCACAAGATGTTTCATTATTTATCGAAGAGCAGTCTAAAAGTAGTAGCGATTGTATTATTAAGCACCATATTTCATCAGAAAATGTACGCAACCAGTAAATAGAATCAAAGTAAAACAAGGAAAAGCAGCAATTCCTCACATTTTTAACGCTGTGAAAAATGTAAACAATGCTACTTTAAAATTACGCTCAATTGCTATTACAGTAGATAACTATCAAAACTATTTTGAATTAATTTTTCTGTCCATGGACTTATCGTTAAATTAACTTTGTACGGGTAAAATAAATCAACATAACTAAACCAAGATAAGGAAACATAAACAAATAATTACTAATTCAAGTGTTTTTTATAAGGTATAGAAAATGTTTTGTTTTAACTTCTAAAATATGAGGGTTCCTTTGAGGTACTCCTCTGCATTTTGATGTTTCAATGAGCTGTCTCTTTCTGTCCAATCTCCCAACTCTGCTGGGAATATTATCACCAGTCCTCAGTGATTTGTGCGTCTTAATTAATTGCACACATTGTCCCACGGCTCTTTAACACCCCGCACAGGCACTAATGTCTTGTGAAGGCCTCGCATTTAGCAACTGGCACAAGCAGTGTGCCCATGTGTGAGAGAAACCAACACTTTGAGGTGCTACCCAATTGTTTCCATGTAGAGGTGTTTTTGGACACGATATTGTAAATGTGTGCAGCTCACACAAGTGTGTATGTGTTTTGTACGGTTTGTCACATGAGCTGGCTTGCCCCTGCACTAGGGGGTAATTGAAATGGTTTTTTGAAGGTGAAAAATAATGAGACTGCCAAGTGTCAAAGCGTTGAAGAAGAAAGGAGGGGTCTGATCTGAGCAGACCATTGGGGGGGAAAGTGAGCTACCTTTGGATGTCAACCCAATTTCCCATACATAGCTCCACGCTATGGTTTCATTGAAAGCAATTTGCTAGGGCAATAACTTCTGTCCTTTTAGATCAAGACAAATTAATCACATTTATAGGTGTGTTGTGAAACTGGATGCGTGAGGTTTTGGAGAGCAGATTGTGGGGTTGTGAGCACTACGTGGCACCGAATAGGCAATGGTTCTTCCAATTAGTTAGAATAACAGGATGCCTTGTTTTGTTAAGATGTTCCTGTGTTTCATGGTGAGATGTTTTTGCGTGTGCCTGTCCTCAGGAAGGAGGTGCAAACGTTTCTCTTAACAGAAGGGCAGAGGCCACAAACAACAACCCTCCCACAGTTATCACCATACCATTGTCTCACATCCTCTGCAGCTTATACTATAACCTCACAACATAAACACTCTTCAGGGGACAAAAACTGACCCTGCTCACACAAAACTTAAACATACAAACATGTACATCTGGCTACAGGAAGGTCTGTTGACAACCAGATTTATTTCTGTGTTTCCTTCTCTTTTATTCTGTGCCTGAGTAGAAAGGAGGCACAGGAACATATTGTCCACCTTCTGGTCTCGGTTGGGGCCTGTAGATGTTTAGATGTAGTATTGTTAGGTGGTTGACAATGCTAAAACCTTCTCTGCCTTTCCATTGTAAAGATGTGTCTGTTGAAGTGAGTAGATTATGTTGTTGTTGTTTCAACTGTTGGTTGGACAACACAGACAATGTGACCTTAGGGCTGGTCTTATTTTGTACCCTATTTTCAAAGGATACATTGAGAAATAGATGTAAGATTAAGAGATTAAGAGGAAGAAAACTCCTGGCACTGGGCACAGACATTTTTATTCATAAATTGGATATAAAAACAAACTGGTACATTTGGGATCATAGTATGCTCACACAGCTTTTACTCAAAAGCATTACCATTACATTTAAAATTGACTATTTACAAGGAACACAATTATGTATTGTTGAAGTAAATAGTTGATCATTGATCAGAAAACATTGGATTGTTTCAGTGGAGTGGCGTGTAAATTCAATGTATGATGTTTAAATTGTCTAAATTGATGATAATAAACAGAACTACCTCAATTTCTTCAGAAAGCAGATGAAATTCAACTTAAATCAAACTATTGTTTTAATAGTGGTCACCTTAATTGGTACAAAAGAATACACATAGTCAATGTATGGCTGGAAGTATTTATATCTTCATTTTCTCTATAGTTTCTCTTAAAACATTTTTGATATCGCTATCTAAATATGAAATGACCTATATCGGGAAAGGCAATTTAAGACATATCGCCTAGTCCTATGTTACAAATGCTAAACTCAGCTTCATCCGTAATTTATTAGGTTTTCTACATTTGTGATCTAAAAGACCAAAATAAAAGACCATTAATCATTACTTGCAACGACTATTATCAAAGACAGATGGAAGCACATACAAAAGAGAAAGATAAATAAGATACATTATTAATTCCACTGCGCCCTACTATGTATCCCAATCACAAGCATAACTCACACGGTTATATAATCACATCTAAGTGGATGCTAAAATAGCATGTGAAAATACCAGCCACTAAGAAGAACCATTCATCTAAAGTGCAGGAGGCCCAGGCACTTAGACTGCCAAGGCACAC